GAAACTTTTCTTTGAAGGAAAACCGAAGAGGAGGAAGGCTTTTGTTAACTTGAGTGTTGACTTGATTCAAGCAAGAGGTAACCATTTTCAGACCTCAAACATAGCCCCATGAAATTACAAATATGAAGCAAAAGGAAGGGGACCATTTAGTTTGTACAGAAAGGATATTAGGTTTCCTTGAAAGAAATTCCAAATCCTGAAAGCCGTGAGAGGACCGAAAATGTATATTATATAAGTTCTGTATTTATTTATGTATATTTTGACAGTCAGATTTAACCTGTCAGATGACCAGGGCTCTGTTACTGAATACATTGCCTGTTCAACGTTCTAAGTAGAAAAATGTTTTCGACCCCTGTTTTCTATGCTGTTAAACAAATTCTATCGAATGATGTTGAGTCTCCTGTTTGTTTAGTACATTAAATTTTATCCTTCACTGTTGATTGCGTCACACAAAAAACAGAATCAAAGGGTTTTAAATTCGGGGGGGAAAAAGGAAACAACCCCAGATCCTCAAATATATGTAAGGGTTTCAAAAATTCTTTGCACTTCATTTCGTGCAAGACTGCAAAGCGTTCTCTTCTATATTTCTTTCCCTGTGCGCCCATTCTTCGAAATGGGTCGCCCTGTTTCCTTGCTGGTATGGGCTGTAGCTCTTTTATTTGCTTCAACAGCCTCAGCTGCAGTAGTGGAACAAACATTCTATGTACTAATCTCTGCCAGATTTCCAACCTGTTCTTTGTGATCATTCATTAATCGCAACTTCAATACTTATAACTCCATGCAGAGACAGACCCTGTCGTCGCTGCATTAACACCAGGATGAATTAGAAATGTTTTCTCACTTTTGATCTTTTGATTTCGTTTGCAGGTGCAAAACTTGACTGTTTCTCGATTGTGCAATCGTCAGGTGATTACTGCAGTCAATGGTAGCCTCCCAGGCCCTGAAATCCGTGTCCGAGAGGGTGACACACTGATTGTTCATGTCTTTAATAAGTCACCTTACGATTTGACTGTTCACTGGTTAGTCCTCAACCATCATCATGAAAACATGAAGTGAACAAAAATTTATTAGTTCTGATATTAACCAAAGCTTCCACGCCTTGCTCAAAAAAACGAAAAAAAAAAAAGATAAAGCTTCCACGCCTACCATGTTTCCATCATCAGCTTTCAACTCGTTCATATTAGTTTTGAGCAGTTGTTCTTGTCTTGGATTAGTCTGCAATGGTTGTATACTTCATATTTTTTATGATAATTTAAGACTCCAAAGTATGCTTCATTCAAGCCAAGTCAGTTCTTGATTTGTTAGTTCCAAAGGGGTTTTCACTTTCCTATTTGATAACAACAGCTCGCATATAGTACTATATACTGCTCAATTCTAACCACTATGTATACTCCGAACTATATATTCTCCTTTGTTTTAATTGTTTCTTTCGATAATGTTCCACGGATTTTTCATATTATCTTAGTGTGCTGTGTCCTAGACTTTTTAAACACTTCATTATTCATACGGATACAATATTTTAATATCGATACATGTGAGACATATCCAATACCTCTATCCCCACATAACATAAAACTGTTCATATACTTTTTACTGTTGCTAAGTGTATTTTGCTTGGAAAAACGAATTTCTGAACAGGCATGGAGTGTTTCAAAAACTGAGCTGCTGGGCTGATGGTCCTAACATGATCACCCAATGTCCAATACGCCCTGGAAACAAGTACACATACAACTTCAGAATCACCGGTCAAGAAGGAACACTCTGGTGGCATGCTCATGTCTCGTGGCTACGAGCCACTGTCTATGGCGCATTGGTTATTCGTCCCAGGTCAGGCCGCTCGTATCCATTCCCCAAGCCCCACAGGGAAGTCCCCATCTTGTTAGGTATAGTCAACCAATCCTTATCTCATGAAACACTCATTAAATTTATTGATTCCAAAAATATTAATTGATTCATTGCTTTGACATGAGGTGATGAATGTGCTAAAGGCACATCCTAACGAACAATGTGATTAATTTATAAATGGAAATTAAAATAATATTTGTGATTGCAGGCGAATGGTGGAATGCTAATGTCATTGATGTTGAGCGGCAGGCAGTTGCTACTGGGGTTGCTCCTAATCTTTCCGATGCTTACACCATTAATGGAAGGCCGGGCGATCTCTATCCCTGCTCTCAAAACCGTAAGTCATAATCAGTGTTTGATTACTCCAATCATCTAAGTTCTGATGGTATTATTTTTTCATGTTATGATTGTTCCATCAGATACGTACAAGCTCCGGGTGGAGACAGGGAAGACCTATCTCTTACGCATTGTTAACGCTGCACTCAACAACCAGCTCTTCTACAAGATAGCCAAACACAAACTGAGAGTTGTCGCTGTCGATGCCGCCTACACCAAACCCTACGTTACGGACGTTGTCGTTATAGCCCCTGGCCAGACGGTTGACGTTTTGCTAGCCGCGGATCAGCGTGTTGGGTCATTTTTCATGGCCGCTACACCATATGCTAGCGCAGCTGGTGTACAGTTTGATAATACCACCACGAGGGGCGTCGTCGTGTATGATGGTACACCGTCATCCGCAACGCCGGTAATGCCGGACCTTCCGGCGTTCAATGACACCCCCACGGCGCACAAGTTTTTCAGTAATTTAACAGGGTTGAAGGGTGGGCCTAACTGGGTCGAGGTCCCTCGAAAGGTGGACCACAAAATGTTTGTGACGATCGGACTGGGCCTCGAAGCCTGTCCAGCAAACACCACATGTCTGGGTCCAAATGGAGCAAGGCTCTCTGCCAGTATGAACAACCAATCCTTCGCGCTACCCACGACTGTGTCTATGCTGCAAGCCCTGTTTTCCAACTTGGGCGGGGTTTACACCACTGATTTCCCCGCCAAGCCCCCAATTCAATTTGACTACACAAACGCTACCAGCGTCGGCAACAACCCGACGCTGTTCTTTGCTCCAAAGGTAACCAAGGTGACGAAGCTGAAGTTCAACTCAACGGTGGAGATGATCTTGCAGAACACAGCTATCCTTGGAGTGGAGAATCATCCCATGCACATCCATGGCTTCAACTTTCACGTACTGGCGCAAGGATTCGGGAACTACAACCCTGCCACGGATAGGAAGAAGTTCAACCTCGTCGACCCGCAAATGCGTAACACCATTGGCGTTCCGGTTGGAGGATGGGCTGTCATCAGATTCACAGCCAATAATCCAGGTTCATTTCCTATTACCAATTCAACTAGATAGTCAATCTTTTCTTGATTTGTACTCTAAAATCTCTTCAATCTAATCCTATGTAGGTGTCTGGATCATGCACTGTCACTTGGACGTGCATTTGGGTTGGGGCCTGGCCACTGCTTTCGTGGTTGAAAACGGCCCAACTCCTGCGACAACTTTGCCCCCACCTCCGGCGGACCTACCAAAATGCTAGAAGTTTTCAGTTGCAGAAAAAACATGGCTGAAAGTTTCTCAAAATTAATACCGACCCACAATTGTTTTGTGTTCGTAAATGAATTTGGATTTGCTTCCATGGTTCCATTCCAACAGAAATTCTATTTCCAATAAAGGATATTCATTATACACTAGCCTGTTCTGGTCAAAACCAAACTGTATTTAGCTCAAATACCTCCATGGATATAGTACAAAATTATTCCCATGCTTGTTTGCTTTAATTTCCATTTTTCTTTCCATTGGATCTTTCTTCTTGTTCTTTCTCCCTATGTTTTGGTTCTTTCATTATACAATTCTAGTATTGTAAGTTCAAAAAAACCAAAAAATAAAAAAGAAACAAAAGGAATAATTCTTTTACAACAATATCACGAATTTTTGTTTATTTTAATTACTTTTGTAAGTTATATATTTTTTTGGTAAATGGTAATCATGTAGTTTGAAATTTTCTTTGTCTTCAAGAATCAACCATAAACCCTAATCAAATAAGTTAATAACCTTAAAATTTGCTAGAAACAGCCAAGCTATCTCCTTTGTCTACCAACAATGATGTCCTCTATAATTTCTTTTCTTTATTTTGATAAGTTAAAACCTTAAAATTTGATAGAGACAGCCAAACTATATACTTTGTCTATCAACAATAATGTTCTCTATGATTTTTTTTCTCGATTTGGATCTCCATCCTCTACTTAGATACATGGCTATAAACTATGTCAAATTATACAAAGAACACAAACCCTCAAACCCTTAATTCTAATAAAAAAAATTAAAAAGTCATCAAATTCAATGTTATTTGACCATTGATGTTGTACATCATATGTCACGTCCATTGTCATATTAGTCGCATTGTGATATAGTTCAACAATTTTTTTACAAATTAAGTATAATAATAATAATAATCATCATTAGATGGGCTTTATAATAATGTTGATCCTTTGTCAAATTGGGTGACGAATTGATGGTATAAATGCAGCAAAGGATCCTTACTTTAGAGGCTGACCATTTCTTTCAACTCTTGTTGGGCTTTGTAGAAGAAAACAACCTTTTGATACCCATTTATTGAATTCAGGAACAAAACTTAACCCACCTAGCTCAAGAATTAGTGAAAATTCAAAAGTAAGTGCCTAAATGGCATTGCAAAGGGAGAAAAAAGGCACCCAGAAAGGAAAAAGGAAAATATCCATGATGGTAAATTCCCAAAGTTTAGCCCACACTTCTTCCACTAATCCCTCTATTAATATGGAAAAAATTGGTAATTTTCAAAAAAGACAAAGGAAAAAATTTGTATTCTATATCAATACCAATAATAATGGGCTGTAATGATAGAGAATGGCCACCTTTGTTTATTATTTTTGAGTAATTCTTTTTGAGTTTACATCTTATTGTTACTATCACTCCATCTTATCATGACATGACAAATTTTCATTAAATAATTTAAATGTGATAATCTATCTATTTATGACTCATTAAATAATTTATATATGAAATCAAAAAGCATAGACTTAAGAAGCAAGATCCCATCATCATAAGGAAAGTAATCAATAAATTTGCTATAGAAAGAGTTATCATTTATTGAGAGAGAATAGTATTAATTTATAATGAATGGGAACACATATGTTTGTTTTGAAGAGAAGAACAGGAAAAAGGCAACACCATAGCACTCACCAAACTCCACTCATATAAACAAAACCCGAATTCTCTCCTCTTCTCTCTAAAATTCTCTTAGATTATTCTCCTCAATCAAATTTACATCTCGAAGCAATGTAATTCTGAAGAAACCATTGAAAACAGACTAGTTAAATTGATCACAGGGGAGCAGGGGCAGGGGCTTCACCGACCAATGATCCTGGTTCACTGGAAACAGGGCCAGGAGCAGCGCCAGAGCTCAAAAGCTCGAACATGGTACGCCGAGGGTTGGTGCGCTGAGCGTCGCAGAGATCAGGCAAAAATACTCCTGCAGGAGGGAGAATTGTATGTCATTTTAACTTTATTCCAAAGCAGGGTATCAAACAATGCTTTGATTGAATCACAAGGTACAACGCCAGAAGCAAAGTATCCTGACAGTTATCACGTGTGGAAGCAAAAAGGACTCGAGAAAAAGTAGAAAAAACATGCATGAAAAGGGGATATTGTTAAAGCCTTTAATCAGGGATATTGGGTTGTGGAAAACGTAAAGATTAAACAAAGAAACAGAGGAGATTTCATATCTTCAAGAAACAAAAGTTCTGGGATTTGTAATTGAATAAAAATCCTCCTCTTCTTTCCCTTGAAATCATGCTGGGCAGTCTTTTCAATACTAACCAACGTTAACTTGACAGGCTACCATATTTTGCAAATGGAACCTCCCTCCTAACCCTCTTGTTTTGTTAACCTTGAAAAAGGGTGTTGATTCTTACCTTCACCGGCGGCCAAATTGAAGTAAAGGTCAACAATGTTGGGGCACTTTTGGTAGCAAGGGGGAGCGCAGAGCTTGGCGGTGAGTTGTGGCTCGAGAAGGGAATCGGAGGAGATGCCGATGGAGTTTCTATCAACCCCACAAGCACGCACGCACTCATCGCTCTCGATATACTCAGCCATTCTCTCCACGACCACCTCCGACGTCCTGCATTGGTACTCTACGTTCCCATCTCTCTGCACCGCCGTTTCCAAAAGACATCTCTTTCCTGAAGATGCTATGGAAAACGCGCACACATCCTTTGGCAAATCTTCACAAATAATCTCAGCTGTCACAAATGGAAAACAAAACAAAACAAAGTTAGATACATAACGTGAACAAACACGAATACTGATATGAAAATATAGAAGCTGTTTGGTTTCATTTTGACATTGACGTACCTAGAGAAGCATGGAGGAAAAGAGAGGAAATGAAGAGAAAGACGGGGAATTTGAAAGAAGCCATGTAAAAGATTGATGATCAAACTGGTTTCTAGGTTTCTTTGAACGAAATGGAGATTGACAAAACAGGCCGGGGGTTGTCTTGTTTCGTGAGGGAGAGTGATACCAGGAGGTTTGGTATATATAGAAGGAAGAAATGTGAAACGATATAAACCAAAAGGGTATCTAGAGTTTCTATATATAGGGCAAAACACCGGCTTCCCTTCGGGTACTTGGCTACAAAGCTAAGAATTGACCTTTATAGTTAAAGACGCGTTTGGCTGTTTACCAGTCATGCTAAATTTTGTTCTTTTTTCGTTTAGTTTTAGAGTCGATATACGTGCTCTCCTTGTTTGATACTTTGTTAAAGTCGTATTTGGTTGCCTGCAGGCTTAAGTTTCCATGTTCCAACCCCTGGAATTTTCTACGTCGAACCCTTTTAATGGGTTCTAGATCTTCTTTTCAACTTTGAATAACTAATTGGCTAAGCTAGTCAGCTCATCCCCATTGGCTCTAACCCTAAGATTAGTAATAAATATTCTCTTTCTTTAAAAGTCTGCCAACCAAGAAGGAAAATGGAGGAAAATATGGGCAAATAAGAATGTTCCCAATAATTTTTAGCACACTAAAATCACAGAAATTAAAGGCAATAAACCCTTTTTTTTATTGACTTTTCTGCTAAATTTTGGCACAATTTCCGTTAACAAAACAGAAAGGCATCAAGATGGGGTCAAGTTTCCTGTTAAATGGAGAATGGCAGCGTATGATATTAAAGGAGCTGATTCCCTTATTGATGAACTTGGAAAAATTGATTGGTCAACCCCTCCTAATTCTTAGAAGCTGCTGGTTCTCTTGTTCACATCGAGACCATTTTTTGTTTTGGTTTGCCGTCTGTCAACTTTGCTGCGTTGACAGTGAACGTGAACGTGATAGGAAAGTTGTTCACAAGCATTAGTCTTCCAGGGCAGTGTAGAGGCAGCTGCCATGTGTTGAAAGCCATAGAGTTTTCATATTTGTTCCTCAGTTTTGGGTCTCTGCTACGCAAATACGAAAAGTCGAAAAGATCTTGGAAGCTTTCATGGAAATTCTATGAATAATGTTGCATTTGCAAACGTCATCTCAAATTATCTTCATTTTTTTTTAAAAATTATATACCCTTTTTTTATCTTTGACTGATGGCATTGATAATCAATGGTAGTAATATACTAATCATGTTTATTAGTCTTGGTCTCCACGGATGTCTCGAGGTTCGAAAACTCCAATTCCTAAGAACATTAATCATTGGTAGACATTACCATATGTTTTAACGAAGAACTTGCCAGACATCAGTAATAGCTGGAGATGGAGATGTACTTGGCGTCTGCATGGTTAATGTTCTGCATACTTCCTCGTAATGCTAACCAAAGCACTCCGTTTTGGGCCCAACAGGGTTTTGGACTGAATTGCAATAGTTGGACTTCCGGGGTGTACAATTCCAGAGCATACGCAGCCCATATTCCATCAAATTGGAGTGCCACTTGTAAATTGTAAACACCCCAGGCTCGTTCGCATTGGACTCTTCGAACCAACCATGATCACAAAATGGATGCTGCAGAGGAGGATAAGTGGGTCCCAAATCAACAGAAATCGTTTGGCAACCTCACAATCTTTCCTTCAACGTCCACAACACAATCCCAGTCGACACTGCTCGGCTGCTGTAAGAAGGAAAGAGAATAAAAATATCGACCAGAGACAGAGAAGAAAAGAAAGAACAAGAAAGCGAAATACGAATCAAAAAAACGTTAAGATAATGGTTGCAGCAGCTGCAGCAACAGCTTCATCTCAACTCCTGTTATCAAGCTCTCGTTCTTTGTCTCGTCTTTCTCCTATACAGCTATGCGTCTTTGATTCCAAAACCCTTGTGTCATGCCCCAGCAACACTATCAAGAGAAGGCATGTTGCTGGCGGGGTTAGGTGCATGGCTGTGGAGACAGCATCAGATGCAGTAACGAAGAAAAATGGGTTTGAAATTCAGGCACTAACCAGCTGGCTGTTGAAGCAGGAACAAGCGGGTGTTATTGATGCAGAGCTCACTATTGTGATGTCCAGCATTTCAATGGCATGTAAGCAGATTGCTTCGTTGGTACAAAGGGCTAGCATTTCCAACTTGACTGGTGTCCAGGGCGCTGTCAACGTGCAAGGAGAGGACCAGAAGAAGCTTGACGTCGTTTCAAATGAGGTCTTGTTATCAACCATGAGTTCAGTTTTGTATGAATTATGTTCTGCAATCAAACAACATGGACATTCTCAAACTTATAATTGAATGACGGCGCCCTTGCTCTAAAACTAAATTAAAACATTACAATTTTGTCATTTCTTGAATAGTTCAATGACTTTGAGAATTTTTTATGTGAAGAATTCTTGAAATTGGTACTACTTTTGCTTAGAAAGCTTGGATGAAGTAGGCAACACTTATTTGAAACTAAGAATGCTTATGCTACCAGGCATCACAGAAACTGATTCTTATGCATTTACAGGTATTCTCCAACTGCTTAAGATCAAGTGGAAGAACAGGGATTATAGCATCAGAGGAAGAGGATGTGCCAGTGGCAGTAGAAGAGAGTTTCTCTGGAAACTATATTGTGGTATTTGACCCACTTGATGGATCATCCAACATTGATGCTGCTGTTTCCACAGGTTCCATTTTTGGAATATACAGCCCAAACGATGAGTGCCTGGCAGATATCGGTGATGATTCCACCGTAAGTCCATATCTACTTCACTGAATTTCCAAACTTACATGCAAAATATCCTAATTGTTTCATGTATGGAACCTGCAGCTTGATACGACTGAACAAAGATGTGTTGTGAACGTATGCCAACCAGGGAGCAATCTACTAGCTGCTGGCTACTGCATGTACTCAAGCTCTATAATCTTTGTGCTCACCTTAGGGAACGGGGTGTTTGCATTCACCTTGGATCCCATGTATGGTGAATTCGTGCTAACTCAAGAGAACATTCAGATCCCAAAAGCTGGAAAAATTTATGCATTCAATGAAGGCAATTACCAGCTGTGGGATGACAAGTTGAAGAAGTACATCGACGACCTCAAAGACCCTGGTCCTAGTGGCAAGCCTTATTCTGCTAGATACATCGGAAGCCTGGTTGGAGACTTCCACCGGACACTGCTCTATGGTGGTATCTATGGTTACCCAAGAGACAAAAAGAGCAAAAATGGCAAGCTGAGGCTCTTGTATGAGTGTGCACCAATGAGCTTCATTGTGGAACAAGCTGGTGGGAAAGGATCTGATGGACATCAAAGAATCCTTGATATTCAACCTGTTGATGTGAGAAACATTAAACCATACTGTCCAGTTTTATGATTTCTTTCTCTTGTGGGGTAATTATAATCATCAGTGTGCTGTGTTTGTGTTCTTCTAACAGATACACCAACGTGTACCACTTTATATTGGAAGCACAGAAGAGGTAGAGAAACTGGAGAAGTATTTGGCTTGATTAAGATGCAAAAGCAAAGAGGGTATTTTTGTTTATGGATATAAGGAAAAATATATTACATTGAAACTGAAAATGAAGATAAAGTCTTCCTTATTCTGTAAATTCTGTGGAATTCCTGTTGTTGATAGCAGCAAAGTCACTGAACTAAGTAACTATCTTTTGCATTTTAAGCAATCATTCATCGGACCAGAACTTTTACTAAGAACTTGTTTGTATTTTATACATGTTTAGGATGGTTAATTCCTTTAATCAAGATCTCATTTGTCCATCTCATCTGGGGGCCTACTCTGTTCAAGAAAAAGTAATGGCATCTTCTCTCAATTGTCCTTCACGTGGAGCCTTTATTGCCCTAAGAAGTAAATATGTAGTATCAATTTGTAATTAAGCAAAGACATGAAATACGATGAGAAATCTCGTGTCCCTATTTCATGTTGTGTCCTTGCCCTTTCTAAAAGGCTAATATGATATGACCCTGCTCACGAGTTATTTTATGATATTGTATCTAATCCAATTATACAATATATTTTTACTTTCACTCATAAAAAACAAGACTTTGATTCGGATCTATTTTAACCTTGATATCTCTATCAGGACAGACAATTTTTACTCATGAAACACATAATGGTTTGTAATAACCCAAACCTCGATGACCACAGACAACAAAAATCAAGAAACTTGACTTAAGTGGGTCCTGGCAGGCTATATGGTGGCTGGGACCTTCCATTTAGATTGGCCTCGGGTTAATCACGACCAAACATTGGACAGGAACAGGAAGATAATCAAAGACCTTGCAAGAAAAAGGAGAAAGGAAAACCACAAGAAAACAAGAAAGAAAGATGGTTCAAGCAATTTCAACATCGTCCTGGAACCTTCTCCTCACAATCCCATGGCTCCATCTCTACTCTTTCTCGTCTCAATCTGCATCATGCCAATCACGTACAGACTTTTGTCCACAGAATTTCCACCGGCGTTCAATGTAAAGCGGTGGAACTCCCGCTGCCTGCAGCATCAGAAACTCAAATCCAAAACAAGAAGGTAAGGAAGAGCCAGTTTGGGATTGAGAATCTAACATCTTGGCTCTTGAAGCAAGAACAAGCAGGCAATATTGACGCTGAGCTCACGGTTTTCTCTCAAGCATCTCCCTGGCTTGTAAACAGATAGCTTCACTGCTCCAAAGATCAAGCATTATCAATCTCACCGGCGGTCAGGGTACTATCAACATCCAAGGTGAGGATCAGAAGAAGCTGGACGTTATATCCAATGAGGTTAGTTTTAACTTTTATCGTTACTTTTGGTCTCAAATGCCTTGACATTTTTTATGCTGTTTAGTCAATAATTCATGGGTTTATCGTACATGAAGTTGTTCTGCAACTGCCTAAGATCAAGTGGGCGAACAGGGATTATTGCATCAGAAGAAGATGTACCTGTTGCAATTGAAGAAACTTATTCTGGAAACTACATTGTTGTCTTTGATCCTATTGATGGATCCGCCAACATTGACAGTGCATGGACTACTGGATCCATCTTTGGCATTTATGACCCTGACAAGCAATGCCTTATCGATCTCGACGACACCTCTACGGTAATCCTTTCATCTGCAATGTCTAATTCAACCCAAGAACATGAAAGATACTCAGAAAGCTCAGTTCCAAATCCCTTTTTTGGTCTCCCAAGTTCTTATTTTCTAGCTGCAAAATGACTTAAAGACAGTTGTGAACCAGGCTCCAATTTGATAGAATAAGCAACTGTTGCAGCTACCCTTAGTCCCCTGAAATTGAGAAAGAGATGCAACATACTATTTTACAGTATCCACCCGTTTTTTCTCCTCTACCTGAACATTTTTCAACTCTCTTGCAACACACAGCTTGATCAAGCAAGAGAAGTGCATCATCAACGTTTGCCAGCCAGGGAGCAATTTGTTGGCTGCTGGCTATTGTCTATATTCAAGCTCTGTGGTTTTCACCTTCTCCAAAGGGAAGGGGGTGTTTGCATTCACCCTAGATCCCGCTTATGGAGAATGTGTTGACACATGAGAATATCAAAATACCAGAGTCGGGCAAAATTTACTCTTTCAATGAAGGGAATTATGACCTCTGGGATGAAAAACTGAAGCAATATCTCGACCACCTTAGCCAACCAGGAACCGATGGCAAACCATATTCTGGCCGCTATATAGGCTGCCTTGTTGGTGAAATCCATCGAATGCTTCTCTGTGGAGGTAACTACGGCAATCCTAAGAACAAGAAGAGCAAAAATGGAAATCTAAGGCTACTGTATGAGTGTGCACCGATGAGCTTTATAGTAGAACAAGCCCGTGGCATTGCAACAGATGGTGTTCAAAGAATTCTTGACATCAAACCCCAGCAGGTAATAGCTTAACCAAGAGGATATAGGTCCAATATTAGCAGAAATATTTCCTTGCTCTAGACAAACAAACAAAAACCATTCATGGTTTCACCATGCCATATTGGCAGGTACACCAGCGTTCACCTATTTTCATTGGAAGCCCAGCTGAAGTTGTGAAATTAGAAAGCACTTGGCTTGAGTCCTGGCGTATAACTTTCCAACTCTGTTCCTTGTTATGAGCATTTTTCCGAGCATAAAATGATGATATGCAAGAGAAAATAATCATCAATTAAAGAATTACGATATTACACAATCAAAGTGCTAAAAGCATCCTCCACGGGCAGCCTAGATGATTAATTTAGAAAACACTGAATTCAGTTAACCATTTCTTATGTAGAGCAAGGGCACATTAATAGTGGATCATCTCAAGCATAACTTGACCCTTACAAAGAAATTAGTTTTGTGCCACGTTAAAACCCGAAAAAGGTTTTAGAAATTGTTAATTAAAACAATATTGTGTTGTTAAACTTTGCTTCCAGTGAGTGCTGCACTGGGACATGTCAGCCAAAGGGTCATCTTGATGATAAAACCAGTCAGTTCTTAGAAGAACAATTTTGTTGCTCTGAAGAACTCCTTCGACCTTTAGCTGCAATTTCAAAAAAAAAAAAAAAGAGAAACATGAGCAAAGCCATATAATAAATCTCAAAATGATGGCGGTGAAGTATATAGAGTGTTACCAGGGCTTAATATTTTTACGCATTTTGTTATAGACTTCACTGAAGTCACACTGTCGGGACCTGCAACCATAGCACACGCACATTTAAGCGTACACATATATTGCGATTTGGATGCATTCAGATTATGCAGCAATAAGCTTTATTACCTTGTGCATTCATGTCTTTCTCTGAAAACACTTTCGTGACAGTAGATGAAAACTCTGACATGACTTGAGGGGCCCCCAGGTTGCCATCCCCCGATTCATGGGATGACCTGTACAGAATGCACAGAATGACAGAATAAAACGTCAGATAAGAATAACTAAACTGAAAATAGTAAAGAAACAAGTGGATAAAGTATGGTCAATAGAATATGCAATAATAATGAAGTAGCACCAATACCCTGAAAGAGCATCTGCAGAAGGACCCAATGTTGGTTGGCAAGGATAGCCAATTCCTTCACATCCAAGATCAAGATCCACTAACAGTTCAGAGAAGGAGAAATTGGCTCCAAAAGCATCTAAACTAGGCAAATCCAGGTCAAAGATATCTGCATCCATTTCAGACTCAGATGTTGAAGTCTCATTGGTTATTGGTTTGTCCACATTCACTGTTGCATCAGAACCATCAAAATCCAGCCGGCCCTTTACATGATCCCTCTTGCCAAGCCTCTTCAAGCTTGTCCTAACCGGTGAACAAGAAGAAATGCAACGGTTCCTCTCAATGGTGTAACATGTCATTTGTTTTAAGGGACTAACTGTAACTCTCTCGGTTGAAATTATAGTGCAGTTGGTAGGAGTGATCTCTTGAGGGGTATTGTTGTGGCTGCAATTAGCAGTAGAAGATACACCCAGTGGAGTCATTGATTTATCACTCTGAGGGGAAACTGCTTGTGGGGGTGTCTTAGGACCTGATGAATTGGTTGGAGGGGACAGATGTGGCCGATTGAACAAACACTTTGCAACGCTAGATACATGCATTGTCGAAATATTGGCTGTGTTATCGGGTGGTGATGATTGATTTGCAGGAATTAGCTGAGCAGCTACTTGACTATTCATTACATTCTCAGACTCTGGAAGCTTTTCTGTTCCTGCAGCCAACATATCAGGGATGTTACGGCTGTACCAAGGCATGAAATGATGTGCATAAAATGAAGATAACCTACCTTGGGTTGTCAATTTCCTAGAACTTAATTTGCTACGAGTTTTTTTTTCAGCTGCTGGGGCTTCTGTGACAGCCTCCGAGCTCCTTTTCTTTCTTGTTATTGGCTGACTTGTAACTGGCGAAGAGTAGTTATCATGCTCCATTCTGGAATTAGAAGGACCAGATACTGGAATAACAGTTGGTGTCCCATACACGGGAGGGCCTAAAGCTAGAGCACCAAGAAAAATAATACAAAAATTGCTTAGTAAAGAGGACACATCAAGTATGCATATCAATCTTAACGATGAGTCATAAAATCTCACAAAAACCCTTTGATCAGATCCCGTGGTTTAAAATTATGATCTTGAACTTACCATCAAATAGAAATACAACAAATCAGACATCTCCCAATACTACTCTACAGCCTAATGATACCAATTTGCACTTCAAAACCTTACCAAAAACATATTGCTATTAACCACCAAAAAATCCATTTAGCCCAGCTAAACAAAACATTCAGAACAGACTACTACCATTCTAATTCTACATACATCTAAAAACTTTGATAAATTGAGAACCTGGAGTAGCAAACTTAAATGAAACGTAGCTACATCTTCATTTCAATCTCCAATTGTACCTCAAAACCTAATGTAAAGGTGGTAACACCTACCTCAAACAACAACTGACCAATTTTATTAACCACCCAGAGCTCAAGATTTGTTACCTGTAGGAGATCCGGCGCATGGATCTGATTGAGGAACCACAGATACGGATTTTGTTGCAGTAGCATGAGGGATCGTAGGCAAGGATGCGGTCGCGCTTGCATTGTAAGCGTTCATTACACTTTGCATTCCCTGCAAAAGGGTCTGAACCCTGCATTTTTCTTGCTCCAAACGAGCCTTTTCCTGCTCCAACATCACTTTCCGCTCTTTCAAACAGATGTACTCGTCCAGCATCGCTCCTAAACTCAACAAACTCTTCGGCGCCTCTCGAACGGGGGACTTGGAGATGAGAGCAGAAGCTTCGTTCCTGAAAACGGAACGGGTTCCGGGGTAGTTGTTATCGGAAAGGTAACGGTCCACGATGAATGCGACTTGGACCGGAGTGACTTTCCCTTTGCCGAGATTCTCGGGCTTCGCCTTGGATCTGCCTTGCTTCCCCATTGTCTTGCGAGAAATGAAAAAGCAACAGAGACGAAGAAGAGAAGTAGACAAGAACGGTGAGGGGATCTGAGATTGGATAAAAGAGAGATTTGCGTGAAGGGAGGGAAAGCGGGAGATGGCGCCATGTCTGAAGGAAAGTGGGGTGTTTTGACGGGCAATGAAAACGCGGGAGAATTTGAAAATATTGGTGGAAAACATTTTTCCTTTTTATTGACCTGGAGCGGTTTCAGATTTCAGTTTCCCGGGAAAATGGCATTTCACTGGCGGTAAAATGTAACAACTAATTTTTTTACTGTGATTCGAAGGTGCAAAACCACTGCCCGAACAGCGTGGTTAAAATGTAAAATATATACATACACATATATAAAATTACAAATCATTGGAATTTTCTTTCCAATTCTATTTATTTTTAATCAAGATGAATAATTTAGTGCTTTTTTTATGTAATTACGTTAAATTTCGTATTATACTTAACTCATATTTATACTCTATATAAAAATTGTTTGAAAAGAATATTATCAAGTGACATGTGGATAGTTATTTACTCGTTCCCTAATATTTGATAAACTCACTCATTTATTATTTAATTCATATTTTACTTAATTCGCATCTCATATCTATATTATATATAAAATTGTTTTGAAGGGAGATTATCAATTGACATGTGACTGAGTTATTTTCTCTTCCTTTAATAGTTAATAATCTCGCTCATTTACACTTAATTTATATCTATACTATATATAAATATTGTTTCAAAAGGAGATTATTAATTGACATGTAACAAGTCATTTTTTCGTCTACTAATAATTAATAATCTCACTTATTATACTTAATATATATTCATGTTATATATAAAAATTGTTTCAAAAGAAGATTGTCGATTGACATGTTACGATCAAGCTATTTACTCGCTTCCTACTAGTTAATAGCCTTGCTCATTTATTATTAATTCACATTATACTTAATTCATATATGTTATATACAAAAATTATTTCAAAAGGAGATTATCGGTTGATATGTGATAAGTGACCTACTCGCCTCCTAATAGTTAATAACCTTGATCGTTGTTATTTAATTTATATTGTAATTAATCCACATGCCGTATCTATACTATATATAAAAAATTGTTTTGCAAGAGATTATGGGTGACATGTGGCGAATTATTTCCTCATCGCTTTATAGATAATAACTTCACTTATTTATTATTTAATAGTATAATAATAAGTAAATATTTAACTATACTTATATTTGGTATAAAAATGTCTTTAAAAAGAGTACTTACATTTTATGTAAATATTTTTATACGTGATTAAAGTAATACGTGTTTTTTTAATCATAAATTGTTTTTTCAAGAAAAAAATTAAGAGAAGATTATGACAAGAAAAAAAAAATCATAGTGCAAGATTACTTCATCACTTTTGATGATTGGATGATAAAATAATATGTAATTTAATTCATATTTGAGAATATTTTGTTTTTCATAACATCAAAGGAAGTAATAATGTAATTAAAAAAAATTATTGGTAAATTTTCATTAAACCTTCAATACGGTTACTAATATTCAATTACTATATATAATGTATTGGTATTAACTGTCTACAATAAGATAGTCATTTTCATTTCCATAATATTATTATTTTGAAAAATAGAGAATTTCAAATAAGTAAATATGAAAAGGTGAAAAGAAATTGGGCCACGTCGGCCCATTACGAAGCCCATAACAACGAACGCATCGATCGTTAATCTGCGCTCAACGATATCGAAGAAACAACAACGTCCGCTTCATCTCCGAGGCTCGAAGAAATAATCAAAAGAGAGAAAGGAAAAAATGAAGCAGGGGCTTCTTCTATGGAGTCCTTGCTATCTTTCTCCACCGTCTTTCCACTCAGTTTCTCACAGAATTCCATCAACCAAACACGCCTCTCAACTGCCGCCAATTTCTGCCTCTATTGATTCGACTGACACCCAACAGCGGCAGCAGCAGTTATCAGCGAGAGAGAGAAGGCAACTGAGGAACGAAAGAAGAGAGAGCAAAGCAGGGTATAATTGGAGAGAACAAGTTGAGGAGAGACTTATAAAAAAACCCAAGAAGAGATACACTTCTTGGACCGAGGAACTCAATCTTGATAACTTGGCTCACTTGGGTCCTCAATGGTGGGTGGTTCGAGTCGCCCGGATTAGAGGTCTCGAGACAGCCGAAGTCCTGGCTCGGTCACTCGCTAGGAACTTCCCCGACATCGAATTTAAGGTAAACAAATTATAGTTTGTTTGTTGCTTCTTTTGTTTTTCGACTGTTGAAATATACAATGCATTGTTTTGGTTATGCGTAGCACTTTAAGTTTATATTGGGATTCATTTGAGGATTTAACTGAAATGAAATTGAGAGAACAATATTAATGATTCATCTCAAATGTTTGTTTGTGCTAAATGTTCCTAACGGGCTATGACACAACAATATAAGCTTGGACTTGGTCTAGCCATTGTTACCCTTTTGCAGGAGCCTTGGGAGCCAATTTTAGAAGCACGCTCCCCCGTTTAACTTCCTTATACGTACAAAGACATTTTAGGTGTTATTGTTTTAAGATAGAAGACTAGTTTTGGATAAGAAACTGATACATATATAGTATACTTGCATTGATTAGTTACTTTTGTCTCCAGATGTATACTCCAGCTGTTCAGGAGAAGAAGAGATTAAAAAATGGTTCAATATCAATAAAACCGAAGCCCTTATTTCCAGGGTGTGTTTTCTTAAAATGTGTATTGAACAAAGAGATTCATGACTTCATAAGAGAATGCGACGGAGTTGGAGGTTTTGTTGGTTCTAAGGTCGGAAATACGTGAGTGTTACTTTTTTGTCCTTGTTGAAAATTGCTAAATTTGCTAGAACCATATGTTCAAAATCGCGAGTTAAATTGTTATGTGTTGTTGCGTGGAATGAAGATGGCAACATCTTATTATCAACTTTTATTTTAGTTTACACAACCATATAGGATTTTTGAAGAAACTTTAGAAAGATAGTCTAAATATAATCCTTTTGGTTCAAATTAGACAGTGCTGTAAGACCTGATCAAAGAAACTTAGGGATACAAAAGCTTAGCATTTGATTGAATATCCTGTGCTTATCAGTTTTCAGTTAGTATAGCTAAGTCTACCTACATGGTTTGCAGAAAAAGACAAATAAACAAACCTAGGCCAGTGTCTGATGATGACATGGAGGCAATCTTCAAACAGGCCAAAGAAGAGCAAGAAAAAGCTGATCAAGCATTTCAGGAAGAACAGGAAGGAGAAAAAACCCTCACAGCTGATAAGCTGAATATAGAATATAATTTAGATTCCAATGGTGTTACAACATCCATTTTGGATTCTAAGCCAAAACGACAGTCTAGAAAGCGATCTGATACTGTAGCAAATAGAGAAAAGAGTTCTAAACTAGTCCCAGGTTCGATGGTTCGAGTTGTATCTGGGACTTTTGCAGAATTTTTGGGCAGCCTTAAGAAACTGAACCGGAAAACTGGAAAGGTATGACATTCATATGTTTGCACAAGTAAAGTTACTTGGTAGTACACGGGCCAGTGTTCTTGATTGCCATTTGAAAAGATTTAGAAAGCTCTAAATAATTTAAAAGGTCCTTTCCGGAAATGATTGTGGATACATATGTAATTATCTAATTAGAACGACTTTTTGAAATGAAAACATGTTTTCTTGCAGGCAACTGTGGGATTTACACTATTTGGGAAAGAAAGCTTAGTAGAGCTAGATGTCAAGGATATTGTTCTAGAAACAAAGTGATATGAATGTGCTTTCCTTATAATCATTATGGCTGAAGGGTAAGCTCATTGTGCTCATGAGTTTGTGCTATCAATTATGTGGGTATCGTTTATTCCCCATTGTATGTAGATTGTAGCATAGAAGTCATAACCCACACTCATCATTGCTTGTAAGCTTTTGTAGATCACTCTCTTACTTGCTTGCTGTTTTGAATATGCCTTACGATTATGTAATTTGTATAACCTGTGAAGTTGTTATCCTTTCATATATCACATTTTCATTCACCCCCTGGGATGTATACATTTTTGTGTACTCAGTACACACTCATAATTAACCAAGTAATTTGAAGAACATTTTGACCTTATGAATATGCTTTACAAGTTTACACACTGCAACTCTATCAAACACTTTATAGGTTAATACAACATATTTCTTGAAGAGGCAACTGTATGTAACTAGGGAATCATGCCATTAACCCTTGTCTGATCTATATAGAATTGTGTGTGCTTGCTTGTGCTTGTGTCTGAAGGTGATGTTCTGCCTATGTTATGTCCTTGCTCATTGTTTATTTGCAAGGGCTGATGCTTCGCAATTTTAAGCTTTTGTTACCTTGGAGTAATGTATCTTCACTCGTAAATTCTCGGAAAATGGTTCATGTTCTTGAGTTGTCCCCGTAATCATATTTCCTTTATTGATATGATATCCTATTTTTGGATATGCCAGTTAAGTAGTTAAGGGTTATCGGGTAGGCAATTTTGGAAGTTGATTTGACAGTAGTCCTGCAATTGATTGAAATTGCATTCATTGTAATTGAATTGAATTGAATAATAGTAAGAACATCTCACTCTCTTTGTTCGGTCAGTCAATTTATACTTTGTTTTTCACCCTTCCTTTTTTCCATCAAAGCCTGAGGCTTAATATGCGGTTGAGGGCAGCCAGAGAATTATTTTTTTGCCTTGATTGGGTCTTGAGCTACAGACCAAGGGTAGCTCTTTCCCATCTCATAACTGTCCCTCCCCCCCTACCCTTCCCTTTGGTTTGCTAGCCACAGCACTGTGTATCGTTAGCAGGCTCCTTCCTTTTTCTCTTCTCTTTGAGGATGATCTTGCTTTAAAAAGCAAATAGGATTTCAAAATTTCAGGCAGTATGCACAGTTGATAACTTGAGGAGTAGTTTGATTGACATTTAGGTGCCCCTCAATGTTAAAGCTTGGTTAAATCAAAGGCACATTGATGATACTTGCATTGAATTATTTAATTTGTAGTCTAGTGTTTATTAAGAAGTTGGTTGCCTTAAGTCATGGTTCTAACTTTTAGTTTCATTTTTTCACTCTTATAGTTTCTTAAAATTGATAGAATATACTTAATTTATACGATATCTTTTAACTGACAATTCTGTTAACTTTGGAAAATGAGGTAAAGCTGTAATGGAATCCAGTTGTTAAAGCCACCAATGTAGGATGTAGCTAACTGCCTAACTCCAGAATTGGCCTTGCTTGTTGACTGTGGGTTAAATTCTAAGAAAACAACTTTATACTTGTTAGTGTCTTTACTACAATGTTAGTGGCGAACTATAATACTAGTCTTCATATTATTCCTAAGGGCTTCTTTAAGGCCATGGAGACTTAAGATGGCTCTAACAATCTCACAAAAGAGCTGATCTGGCTAGGATTACCTGGTCCAGGTCAATTATTTTTTCAACTTTCAGTTTGGAAGTTTAGGTTGCATGGTCTGTCTCGGCTTAATGGTGGTCCCTCAGTACTCCATATCTTAAAAATTCAAAGGCTTCAGCCAATTAAATGTGCCAGCTTATAATCTATCCCTGATCTAGACAGAAAAACAATGCTAACTTTGCACCGTATTTGGTATCCAACTCATTCCCATCTTTATTTCTTTTACTGATAAGTAGCTATCTTCATTCGGCCGCTTCTTCGTCTCTGTATCTCTCCGGTTGATCGCCTTGAACATTATCAAGGCCCACTTCAACCACCATCTTCCTAGCAGATGATAAAACCCAACCCTTTCTGGGAGAGGTTATTACTCATTGGGTTGTCACTCTTTTCATGCATAATTTCTGATTTTGATCAGCTGTCTCTATAGAGACAGTGCTACATTCCCATATTTCTGCTTACTCTAGGAAATAGATGTTGGCCTGAAAAACACAAGCTGCCTTCCGATGTTTTCTGTGTCTTCAATCCATTTTGTTGATTTTTGATCTAATGCCAACCTCAGAAACTTGAGTGAAGACTTCAGGAAAACCAACCAAACCCGATAGGGTTTAAAATTGAAATCCATCTAACAGGGTCCTTGGGAAAAAAAAAAATCCAAAAGCACCAACTTAAAGTAGGGTCACAAGATTCACACCTCAAAAGCTAGTGGTCCCCTGCCATGTTTCAAATTTAATGCACAAACAAGTTGCAGTGGTTATGGTTCTAAAATTTGTCCTCTTTGTGTGTGAGGGAGTAGGGTTCCACCCAAACTTCATATGATACTCGGCAAGCAGTCTTTGTAACCTTCAGTAGTATGGCATGTGCTCTGTCCCATTTCCCATAGCCTTGTTCATTTTTCAATTATTTTGTAAATAATGAGGACAGATAACCGTTCTGTATGTCTTGCCTTTTGTGCCATCAAGCAAACTGAAAGCTTAGATAAACCACTTGATATAAGAGAAGGGCACACTTCATCAGGGAAAAGAAAAACAGAGGGCACGTTACGCTTTTTGCTCCTGGTAGGGTAGAAATTATTCCTGTCTATAATTCTTTATCTATATGAAGTTACTCGTTTATTTAGGAATAATGATAAAATTGTTCCCATATTTACCTTAAAAACTCTAATTTTTCCCTTTTCATATACATGATGATATCAAAACAGTACATTTCCATTTAGACTTTTCCTTTGATTCATATCATGTAATAGGTCCGTGATTCCTACACATGAGAAGAGTATTGAAATGATGATAAAAAAAACTCATATTTGTTAAATTAAAAATATTTTGAACATATAAATATAAAATTAATTAATTTTAAATTAAATGTTGAAATAATCTTATCAAGGTCAATTGTATCTGCCACTTGAATAAATCTAAAAACTACCCATAATTAATTATTCAATGCAAAGATTATTGTCTTAAATTTCAGAGCATGCAGATTTAACTACACCTGACATCCTGAGGCCCTGACCTACCAAAAACTCTGCAGATTCTTCTCTTCCAGGCTCACGAATTATACCACCCTAGAGTAAATATAAATACCAGTCATTGATGAAGGGTTCTTTAAAGCAACAACTGACTGCATTAACGGCCACCAACCCTTTGCTCATCCTCGAAAAGAATTGAATGCTGCTGAGAATGACTGCGAAGTGAGGACATACACCCCAGAATCACCCAAATCTTTGCTAAGGGACAAGGGTCAATTCCAAGACTCGAAGGTTCCGACCGATGTTTCAAATTCTAAAAGACTTACCTCTTGCCTTAACCAAAAAAGATAAAAGAGCACGCTGCATTAGTTTTTACCTGGAAAGAGCTTGGCTAAAGTGTTGCAGGCAGGCAGGCTGGCACGTTGCACAACAATCCTTGGGTGGGTTTATCAAAGCCCGACCCTGTTGTGCACGTTAGAAAATGGTCCCTCTCTTCAAAGAGAATCCATTTTTTTTTATCTTTTGCTCCCCACACAAACACCTCTTTTCTTTTTCTTATAAAACAAAAAGAAGATTGGAAAGGGGAAGAGCTAGTGGAGGATTTTGCTTGGAATTGATAGAGACTTGAGACTTGACTTGAGACTTGAGACTTGAGACTCCGTGTTACTCTACAGCTGTGTGCTTGTGTGTTGTATGTTTTTTTAATGCAAAAGCTTAGACCATTGTGTAGACATGAGAGTACACTTACCTAAGACATCCTTATCTTTCGTCTCTTTTCTTTATCCTCCTTTTTGTTGTGGCTAACAAACAAGTTTGGCTTGGACAACTGTAACTCTTGAACCCAATAATTTGCAAGTACCCACATTTTGTTTCATATATTTGTACTTGATACCAAGTGAAATTCTTTGGTTCTAAGTTTTTTGAAGCTCAAAGTGACAACCTTTTCTTGTGAAAAAAAGGGTTGGAGAGAACTATGGAGCCCTTGTGTTGGAGTTCAGCAAAAAGAAGTATAGTGAACTATTCATGGTGGAACTTTAATTGATGCAACAACTCAAGAGAAAAGTAGTGTACCTGTCTAGCACCATTAATTAATTTTTGTGGATAGAAATGAAAATACGAAAAAACAGAGTACATTTGAGAATTTAGAAGAAGTACAAGTGCAAAAGTGAAAAATGTCCATTATAATATTCCCTCAGTCAGCAACCACTCAGAGAAAGTGAATGAAAAAGAGTTGCAGAAACGAGTAAACGTATTTAATTTTCACAACCTCCGAGCCAGCCCAACCCTCCTATTCTTTACTTTCTTTTCTCTGGTTCTTCACCCAGAACCCTAAAAAAAAGAGAGGGAAAATTACCTAGTTGTAAATGGAATCATCACCAAGGAAATCTTAGAAGACCAAGAAAGAAAATACCAAATCCAGATTCAGCTCTAACCCACTTCAGCAATGGCCACATTCTCCATTTCCAACTACTTCACAGTCCTAACTTTTATCATTTTCCACTTCAAAATCTTAGCTGCAGACCAAAGTTCCTCTTTTTCCTTCAAAAGTTTTGGTAAAGATCCAAACTTTGTGTCCAATATTGCTTTATACGGGGATGCACGGGTTGCTAATGATGGCTCTTGGGTTCAACTTACTAACTCAGTAGGTGGGAGTGCTGGGAAAGTCATGTATAAAAAACCCATCAAGCTTGTTGAAGGTAAAGTCAGGAATTTTGCTTCTTTTTCAACTTACTTTTCCTTCTCAATGTCCCATGAAAATGGTGATGGTTTGGCTTTTGTTATGGTTCCTCGTAGTTTTAATGTTAATGTGTTAGATAATAGTTCGTTTGGGGTTTCTCTTGGATTGGAGAAAAGTAATAGAGGAGCAGTTGCTGTTGAATTCGATACCTTCAAAGATGCCAAGTATGGTGATTTGAATGGAAATCATGTGGGCGTTGATGTGGGTAGCCTTGTGTCAGTTAAAGCGAGAAATTTATCTTCCGCCAATCTGGTATTAAACAATGGAGAAAAATTACATTCGTGGATTGATTATGAGGCAAGTTCAAAGAGACTAGAGATTAGGTTGAATCAATCTAGTAGTACTAGGCCTGAAGATCCATTGCTTTCATACTCAATCGACTTGTCGAAACTATGGAATGATGAGGACTTGTTTGTGGGCTTAAGCTCTTCAAATAGGAACTCTTCACAGACATGCTTTATTTACTCGTGGAATTTTAAGCTAAGGCAGGTTCCAAATTGGATGCACTCTCAACCACTTGATCCTGAGGCCGTTGCGAAGAACCCCAAACCTATGACAACAGCGCACAAGAGTAGCAATTGTTTTTGGAGAGTTCTTGCTGTGTTCATTTTCGGTGGTGCTTGTGGAGCCTTGACAGCTTCTTGTGTTCTATACCTATGGACCATCCTTGGTGATAGGCGCCCAGTAGCACCCGAAGAGTGTGGTGTGCACCCTGTGGATTTTGAGTACAAGAAATTCAAAGTAGCAGTGGACGAAGAAGCTGTCAAAGTTGGCAAGAAGTAGATGTTAGAGTTGGGGTTCTGTTGGATGTTTAATGTTGTAAATTGATGATCTTTTTTGTAATTGTAGTCGCAGGTTTTGTGTGTGGTTGTAGCTGATGATCAATTGTGAAAAATGTAGCTCTTTGTTACCTAGTGTTTAATGATGGAAGCATTGAGATTCACCTTTAATATAAATTACAATGTTGCTTTTCAAAACCTTAATTGTAAATGCATAATGCTTAAGCAAGTTCTTCGTTTAGGAAATCTATAATTCTCACCTGATTTGAGGATAAATGCATGAATTAAGGTCTTTGACGTGCTTTGTTTTGTATTGTTAAACAATGGATGTTTAGGAAATCTATAATTCTCACCTGATTTGAGGATAAATGCATGAATTAAGGTCTTTGACGTGCTTTGTTTTGTATTGTTAAACAATGGATGCATTGAATTTACGTTTAATATATGAATTGCTATGTTGATTGTGTGTCCTCAATCACAAATGCATAAAATTCCCGAACAAGTTCTTTGTCTAAGAAATCTATTGTTGTGACCTCATTTAGGGATCAACTATCAAGGAATGAATTAACAGCTTATTCTCCTTGCTGAATTAAGCTGCCAAGTTATAGGTTATACCTGAAGTTTTAGGCCTTTATGCTGCAAATTTTGGGGTACAAAGGTCTCAATTCTTCCTTTTGTTCTTTCAGGGATACTTGCCCTGTTTTGATGAAACTTAACCTTTCAAAAAAACATATATATTAAGCTGCTTAGGTTTTCATGCTCTATGACTTGGTGTATAATTAGTGGAACTGAGAATGTTTCATGGAATTTTTGCACTAATAGTTAAGAGCTGTCAATTTGCAAGTCTTAAAGATGGTTCATGGTTTGATCTCATCTTGTAATAGACCTTAACTTTTCTTCTTTCCAATTCCATTTTTTCTGGCACAGTTTTTTGACAGAGCAACCTTCTATCAGCAAGCTCCTATGGTTCTGGTGAATTTTATCAGAACTCTACCAGAGATAAATATTGTTCTTCTTTTGGATGGCCGAAGGAATCATATCAGATTGGTTTAATTTGTATAAACATATGGAACTTAAAGTTCCAAGATTGGAAGAACAGAACTGGAATTATCAATATATTTAACATTCATATTGGCATACAGCTATCCAGATTAGTCCTTTTCTGTTGCCAGAGACTGGCAATTGGATACTTTTTTTAGCATTGTTTTACATCCCGAAATAACTAGAAGTGAATCATTCTTGATACTCCTCCTCTTCCTCCTCATACTCTTCCTCATCAGCAGTTGCATCCTGGTACTGCTGATACTCAGAAACCAGATCATTCATGTTGCTTTCTGCCTCCGTGAACTCCATCTCATCCATACCTTCACCTGTGTACCAATGCAAGAAAGCCTTCCTCCTAAACATGGCTGTGAACTGCTCACTCACCCGTCTGAACATTTCCTGGATCGAAGTCGAGTTCCCAATGAAGGTCGATGCCATTTTCAAGCCATTTGGAGGGATATCACAGACAGTTGATTTGACATTGTTTGGAATCCATTCCACAAAATAGGACGAATTCTTGTTCTGGACATTGAGCATCTGCTCATCAACTTCCTTTGTGCTCATTTTGCCTCTGAACATAGCTGAGGCTGTAAGGTACCTCCCATGGCGTGGATCAGCTGCACACATCATGTTCTTGGCATCCCACATTTGCTGGGTGAGCTCAGGCACGGTCAAGGCTCTGTACTGCTGGGAACCGCGAGAGGTAAGAGGTGCGAAACCAACCATAAAGAAGTGCAGCCTAGGGAAAGGAATGAGATTCACAGCGAGCTTCCTGAGATCAGAGTTTAGCTGACCAGGGAATCTCAAACAACATGTAACTCCAGACATTGTAGCAGATATCAAATGATTCAAATCGCCAACTGCACCCAAAAAAGCAACACAAAGAAATTAGTTCAAGTCCCATGAATGATTAGCTGAAACAGAGAAAAGAGAAACTCAAATGTGATAGATGTTCTTACAGCTTGGGGTAGTGAGCTTGAGGGTACGGAAGCAAATGTCATAGAGAGCCTCATTGTCAAGAACCATACACTCATCTGCATTTTCAACAAGCTGATGAACGGACAAAGTAGCATTGTAAGGCTCAACCACTGTATCTGAGACCTTTGGGGAAGGAAAAACAGAGAAAGTAAGCATCATCCTGTCCGGGTACTCCTCTCTGATCTTCGAAATCAGAAGGGTTCCCATACCAGATCCTGTTCCTCCTCCCAGGGAATGGCAAACCTGAAATCCTGTAGTTCAAAAAAACCCACACCAACATAAGCCCAAGGAAACATACAGGAACAATAACAAGGAAAACAAAACAGAAACAAAGAACTAACCCTGCAAGCAGTCACAATTCTCGGCTTCTTTTCGGACAACATCAAGAACAGAATCGATGAGTTCAGCGCCCTCAGTGTAATGACCTTTAGCCCAGTTGTTTCCCGCACCAGATTGTCCGAAAACGAAGTTGTCTGGTCTGAAAATCTGACCATAATGACCAGACCTAACACTGTCCATGGTACCAGGTTCAAGATCCATGAGGACAGCCCTGGGAACATACCTTCCACAACTTGCTTCATTGTAATAAACATTGATCCTCTCAAGTTGAAGATCCGAATCCCCATTGTACTTCCCTGTTGCGTCAATGCCGTGTTCGGCACAGACCACTTCCCAGAACTTGGCACCAATTTGGTTGCCGCATTGGCCTCCCTGGATGTGAAGGATTTCACGCATTTTTGGGGATTAAAACAGAGAGAAAAACAAACACCCAAAGACAGAAAGAACAGAGAGAAAACGATAGGGTTAGGGAGGAGAGCTGTGGGGACGGAGGGATCTTTATAGAAAAAGTAAAGGGCTAACGGTAGGAACAAGTGAGAGTTATATTTGAATGATGAAGCGGGATTCTTGTTGTTTTGTTTTTGAATTTGGGTGAGAATGAGTTGTTTTTCTTTTCTTTTCCTTTCCATTTTTTTTTTCTGTTTTACCAAACGGTATCCTTGTAAAGTAACGGTCAGATTGAGCTGGATGATGATGGGTGGTTCAGTTTGAATTTCGAAATAAATGAGACAAACCAGCCTGGAGTGGACTGTTAATGCCATTATTATTATTGGCGAAATGACAGAAACAGATTTGTTGATTCAAATTTTAGGCTCCTTGGGGGAAAATTTTGCCTTCCTTTGCTTCAATGGCACCATCAGAACAAGTTAACTCGGTCAAATTTAGTGTATTAGGTTTTCAAAAGGTGGACCTACACACTTTCTTTCTTTAATTTGTCCTAATCACAAAGTTTGAATTTTGTAAGATGGGTTATGATTGCAGAACATGCTTAAGCATGAAGTTAATCAAATCATGATCTTGGGGTTATCGGGGGGAATAAGAAACGGGATGCTTTCATCTTTAATGAACATGAAAATCATTAGAAAAGTAGTGATCTCATGGCAAAATGAACACACTTCATATTTAATTTCATGTTCTAGAATTAGTACTATCTGCTTCACATGGCAGCAAGTGCAACAAGCACATGGAAACCAACTTTGGCTGACGAGAATTTCTAAGACAGCCTTCATCTTTATTCTTTAGAGAACTGTACTCATTCCAGGTTTTACAGGTCATATGGTTTTCGATTGATCAAATAGCAGTTGCACATGGTGAAGAATCGAACTCAACAGAAAAGCACATCACGTATCAATCTTTGTCAACTTCTGGTGCAGCAACAGCCAGTGAGATCAACAGGATTTCTTGGTCTTTTAATATTTTGATCAAACCCTTGTTTATGCAACTGCAAATGGTTGCTAGAATTTATTCAATGAACTTGTCAACAAACCTGCAAAGCTCAATTGATCCTCCAACAGAGACATAAACAATGCAAAAGGTAGATTTCATTTAAGCATTATATTGTTCAGATGCAGATATCTAATTCAAAGTACATTACATCCTAGTCAAAGAATTGACATTCACATTTCCTAGCAACTTCTTCCAGCTGCAAGAGAAAAAGTTTTGTGGATGATGGAAAGGAGTTTAATTCAAATTCTTCATATTCCATTCCATCCTCCATCAGGTTCCTAAGCTAATAATCAATGGATAACCTTTCCCCACTTTCCCCACTTTCTCTACTCTAAATCTTAGAACGCAGCAGCTAACATATTACAGCATCTTAATGAAATGCAAATGTAAATCAAGTGTTGTAGACCACCAAATCCCCATAAACTATAATTCTGAAATCTTGTCCAGTCATGAACAAATTAATGACCAAGATTCAATATTGATATATTGTAAACTGTACAGTAAAAAGCTAGCCAATCCCTAGTTTATCCATGAAGATTAGATATGTTAACCCTCTTGTTAATGGGATAAGAGACATATTTGTTATTAACTGTACCCAATCTTCCAAGCTGCAGAGAACTTGACCTAAAGGAAACAGGGAGGACAGTGAACATGTAACTAAGACAGTAAGACTGGATCTCAGCATGGAACAGTATCTTCAATCCCACCAAAGATGAAGTTCAGATAGATAACGCAGTTTGTAAAAATAGCATCATGGATCCAATGCAAGCATCTCACAAACTCTTACAACATGAATTAACACTAAAAGGGAATCAATTAAACCAACTAATGTAACAAAAGAAAATCATCAAAGGTAACTTGATCTCAGTATGTGATTAGTGTTATCTCCATTTCCTTTCAGAGAAAGTACTATCAGATAGATAACGCAGAATAAAATAAACATCTTTGATCCAAACAAAAAAGAAGAAACCCAAAGAAGAGAGTGGTTGAAAAACGCGCATCTCAGAGAGAACATGCCCTTTTTGTTTCTTCACTGACAATCAAAGTGCAAGGATAACAATTTAATCATCTCCTCATTGATGCCCTTTTCTCTTTTACCATTGAAAAACAGAAAGCTATCAAAAACATTAAAACAAAATCATATCAATCACCTGATCGTTCTCTTAAAAGACAAGTTTTTGGCTTAAAAAACATGGTACCTTGAAAACCTTTGTTATCCTAGGTACCCAATCCTACAGAGGCGGTGTTTGATGAAAGTTGCAGGCTTGCAGCCGTTTATACGGTGACAAGAACCAACCCTAAGGGACTGTTTGGAAACTGACTGTTCTTACCCTATCTCAGGCTGAGATATGAGCACAGCACAGGGATTTGTTTGGTATCCTGTACTCAAGATATATAAGTAGGCTGAAGGACCCAAGCTTTTTCTTTTAGTATATTACTCAAGTCATGGGCTTTCACTTTCTAGGCCGAAAGGCTTTCTCTATAAGCCCATTAAATTTATCTTTTTTGATCAATCAGAAATGTTTCATGGAACCGAAGAAGTCCAAGGTTTTTTGTCTACAATGAGCAGATTCTTGCATTCTTTGCTTTGTTGTTCAAAAAGGGTAGCTTTGAGTAAAACTGCAAAGCCCGAGGCTCATTCTCCATTGAGGCCGTGGATGAACTTAGTCCACGAATTCATCTCCAAATTCGAGCCACAAAATCCATACAAAAATTGAGTCTTTACTCCTCTCCCAAGTAATAGCATTTTGACAAAATAAGCCTAGATTGAACAATCTAGATTCCAGAGGCAAATTCAACACTTTCTTTTCTTCTCTTCTATCTGGTTATAAAAATATTCCTCATTGGCTTGGTGCAGTTGCTAAGCTGAAATCTACTTTGAACCCTCTAGTTAGATCCTCCAGTCCTTCTACTTCCAACTAGTTTATCTTCTCCAACATGGGTATGATTCTTGGTAAGATCAGTGTGGAGACTCCAAAATATGAAGTTGTTCAATCTTCAGCCGATTATGAAATCCGCAAATACTCACCATCAGTTGTGGCTGAAGTCACGTACGATCCATCCCAGTTCAAGGGGAACAAGGATGGTGGTTTTTCGGTGTTGGCAAATTACATAGGTGCCTTAGGCAATCCGCAGAATGCAAAACCTGAAAAGATCGCCATGACAGCTCCTGTGATAACTAAATCATCTGGAAGTGAAAGTGAAAAGATTGCCATGACGGCTCCCGTTGTAACAAAGGGTGAGAAAAACATGGTGACAATGCAGTTTCTGTTGCCGGCGATGTACAAGAGGGCAGAGGAGGCGCCCAAGCCGTTGGATGAGAGGGTGGTGATAAGAGAGGAAGGAGAGAGGAAATATGGGGTGGTGAAGTTTGCAGGAGTGGCAACAGATCAGGTGGTCGAGGAGAAGGTGGAGAACCTCAAGAAGAGCTTAGAAAGAGATGGGCACAAGGTGATTGGCGAGTTCTTGTTAGCTAGGTACAATCCTCCTTGGACTTTGCCTGCTTTCAGGACTAATGAGGTCATGCTACCAGTCCAGTGACTGCTGAATTATGTGGTTAGCTCAATATGTTTGTTGTACCGTTCTTTCTCTCACAATTATCAGAACTTGACAGGTTTTCAGTCATCACAAATTAAATATTATATGTATATATTTTGAGATTTTGGATGGATTTGATATTCTGCTACTTTCATCTCTTTCTAATAATGTCAGAGGTAGAAATGCTGCCAGAGGTTTCTACCTTCATGATTATTCATTCATGAACATGCAACATTAGCCCTGTTCTTGGAGTCCTCTAATCTAAAAAAGATGCATTTTTTATCATTAGCTCATTGTCGATTTGCCTGTCTGGTTTTCTGGCCTGATGTTTGGACATACACGTATCAATCCTTCCATCTTGTGCAAAGCTTACTTTTTGTTACCAAAATAGAGCGGAGATAAGATTACAACCACTGCAAGGGATGTAAAATTGAATAAACTCTGCATCAAAATGAAAAAACTACTGTATATTGAGTATTGACAGAGTAGCCTCTATCCCGAGAAGATGTTAATATTGGTGAGCTTTTATAAATGGATGTCAAATGCCCCAAGCCTCGCACCTACCTGAGGTGCTCCAGTTAATGTCGAAAGTAAATACTGTCAAGGCAGGCAAAACCAAAAAACTAAAAAGAAACAACAGTGTAGCAATGAAATTAAATTGCATAGGCCGCAAACATGGTCTTACTAGGATATGAGCTTCCTCTGATTTTACCTTTTTTGAGTATTGTACACACAGGTCAATGGTCATGGCCCTTGAGTGGGCTAAAAGTTTAAGTAACATATCACAACATGCATGGATTAATTCATGTCCCAAGCCATGAACCTTTTCTCACCTCTCATCAACCTCAACCAGTGAACAGCTTCACTACTATGGTGATGATATTGAAAAGGATAAGTGGTAGTCTCAGGAATTGGCATGCATGTATGAGCCCAATTATCTGCCCCTTAAGCGTATTTCTTC